CGATAAAGACCGTCCCCCTTGTCGACTCCGACTGTGGCAGCGGCCGGGCGTCTGCCGTCCCTGACCCTTCCTCTGTTGATCCGCCCTCAGACCCATCGACCGATCGTATTTGTTTGATGTTTTCTGACGTGACTTCACTGAAAAGCTTTGACTCTCTTACAGGCTGTGGAGATATTATTGCAGACCAAGAGGACGAGGCAGGGCCCAGCTGTGACAAGCATGCCCCGGGGACAGGCAAGCCAGGTGTGTCTAAAAAGAACCCCAGCGTGGTGGCCTACCAAGGAGGCGGGGAGGAGATGGCGAGCCCGGATGGGGTGGATGACACCTATCTGCAGGAATTCTGGGACATGCTCTCCCAGACTGAGGACCAAGGACAAGGGCCCCCCGAGGGACTGGCTAAGGCCGCCGCAGCACTGGACGCCAAGGGGGCTCCCGAAACCTCCAAAGACACCAGGGGGGTAGAAGTGGCCAAGGACGTGTCATCGGTCAAGCGCAGGAGGCTCAACCGCATTCCCATTGAGTCGCAGCCCAAGGAGGAGCCCAAGCACCTGCAGAAGGAGCAGCAAGAAGGCGTCCCCAACAGTGATGAGGGCTACTGGGATTCCACCACCCCAGGCCCCGAGGAAGAGGGCACGGGTAGCGGGAAGAAGGCGGGCATCTCCAGGGATAGCTACAGCGGCGATGCGCTCTACGATCTCTACGCGGATCCAGATGGAAGCCCGGCAGCCCTTCCTGCCAACGAGGAGGTGTCCTGTGTGTCTAGGTTAAAGCCCGTGTCTCCGGGCACCATCACCTGCCCACTGCGAACACCAGGCAGTTTGCTGAAGGACTCTAAAATCCCCATCAGCGTCAAGCACCTCGCCAACCTTCCGTCCAGCCATCCCGTGGTGCACCAGCAACCAGCCAGGAGCGAGGTGCCCAGAACAAAAATCCCGGTGTCCAAAGTGCTCGTCCGCAGGGTCCACAACCGAGGCTTGGCTGGGACCACCATCCGGGCAGCGGCCTGCCACGACAGTGCCAAAAAGTTGTGAGGTCTTTGAGGCCAAGATGGATGGACCACATGTCAAGGAATACAACTTTCCCCGGTAACCACTGACATAAGTTCTGCTTTTCCTAAAGAAAGGCTTTGAGGACCGTCTCTGCTACAGAGCCTGGACCAAGGGTCTTTGTCCCCGCTGGGGCAGGAGACACTAGAGAGGGAATCCACACTGCACATGGAAGTCTCCTCCCCAAGATAAGCACTTTTTTTTTCTTTTTAAAAATATGTTTTCTGTCTTTTTTCTTTAATGCACTGAATACTTGGAAGTCATCTTTACTTGCCTTTTCAGAAAGAGGACTCAACCAAACCGAAGTAAGTGTCAGGCCATGATGTTTGGCCATGCTAGGGTCCAGAGGTCTGGAGGAGCCACTGCAAGAATCAGAAGAGCCCTCCTCTTCCATGATCCTTCTCTCCCCCTTCCCCTTCCCTTCCAGGGTGTGGGGCGGGGGGCGGGCAGGGAAGACCCTCTGCTGTATGGAAAACACCTAGGAAGCTGGGGGAAAAAAAAACACCCCAAAACAACCAGAACAGGTATTACCTGATGAGCAGAGGGCATCACTGATTGGCAGAAAATTTTCCTAGTTTCAGTTGCTAGGTATGCAAATAGGTAAATATCTACCACTGGGACAAGAAAGAAGAATTTTGGGTTGATCATTTGTTTGGGGAGAAAAATGCTCAGCAGAGCAGGTTTTTTTCTTTTTGTTGTTTTCCCGCCCCATGCAGAAATCAGGACGGGGGAAAGATTTCGTTACATGCCAACAGACCCAACGTTGCAGCATTTATCAACTGTCACTTTTTCATGTGTAGATAATGCATATTTTACCGTTTATCCAGCTGTTAACATTTTATAATCTGTTCGTAACCTCAAGTTTAAAACCTGGTTTTATAGCTAAATATGGTAGCTGTCCCCAAACCATTGATATGCTTTTATGTGCTGTAACCTGCAGCAATTCTGTTTATGTTTTAAATGGGTTCTCTGGCTTTCAGTGCACTAACAAACAAACAAAACTATTGTGTTGCTGTTCCAGAGCATTGCTTCTGCCTTGTCTTGGTAGGAGTCTGTTTCTTACACAAAATCTTGATTTTTTTCAGAGATTTTACCTTTGTTATAAAAAATTTTGGATTCAACCGTCCCTCAATATGGGGATTCTAAAGTGAGGAACACACAACAAACAACAATAGAAAAATATAGTTTTTCATTTCATTAGACTTCTGCTTTATAGATTTATGACTGTGACAGGTTATGTTCAGAATATAACACTGGCAAGCTTATATATCATAAACACTTTATGCCAAGATATTTTGAAAAGTGGCTTACTTTGTGTACATTCCCTATTATTTGAGATGAAATATTTATTTCAGAAAGGGTTCCCATATGCCTCGGTAATTTGAATTATAAACTGACGCAGTTCCTAGAATACTATTAGGGTCTAATGATTCTACAACAGTGTCTGAAATGCACTTCAGAGAGTTTAATCAAGAGACCAGAGTTTCTGCTAGGAAGTGACTCATGGTGTCAGGAAGGTAGACATATTCAAGGGAAACTACACCTGTAAATGACATCAACACTTCTATATAACTTTCATTTTTCCAGAGATTGCCTAAGTAATGAACTGATATTACATGTTTTTTAAGTTTGTTTTCTGTAAAGGAAAGAATAAGACAAGTATACGAAAGCCTATTTGAATAATATGAATGAAGTAACAAAATAGTCATCAAAGGAAAACAAATTTGTGGCAGTTTTAAAATC